TTTTTTGAGACGGAGTCTTGCACTGTCACCTGGGCTGGAGTGTGGTGGCGCGATCTCGACTCACTGCAACCTCTGTCTCCCGGGTTCAAAGATTTTCCTGCCTCAGCCTCCCGAGTAGTTGGGATTACAGGCGCCCGCCACCGCGCCCAGCTAATTTATTGTATTTTTAGTAGAGACAGGGTTTCACCATGTTGGCCAAGCTGGTCTCAAACCCCTGACCTCGTGATTCACCCACCTCGGCTTCCCAAAGTGCTGGGATTATAGGCGTGAGCCCCTGCACCTGGCCCGACAATTGTTTATTTTTTAAAAAAACTCGTTGAATTCAGGCTGTGTTAGTCAATCTTTCCTTCAAGAAAAACTGACTTTTTTTTTTCAGATGTCATTTTAAATTACTTTGAGATTAAGAGTTTATGTGGATGAGCCAGGGTAGTGGCTTATGCCTGTAATCCCAGCCACTTTGGGAGGCTGAGGCAGGTGGATCACCTGAGGTTGGGAGTTTGAGACCAGCCTGGTGAACATGGTGAAACCCTGTCTCTACTAAAAATACAAAAATTAGTGGGGCAATGGTGGTGCACACCTGTAATTCCAGCTACTCAGGAGGCTGAGGCGGGAGAAGCGCTCGATCCTGGGAGGTGGAGGTTGCAGTGAGCCGAGATCACGCCACTCCACTCCGGCCTGGACGACAGAGTGAGACCCTGTCTCAAATAATAAAAAGCTTTTGTGGATGAAGAGTGGATTTAGCAAATTGTTCTTTTTAACTACTTACAAATTTGATTTTTAAAAATTGAGATGAGGCTGGGCATGATGGCTCAAGCCTATAATCCCGGCACTTTGGGAGGCCAAGGCGGGTGGATCACTTGAAGTCAGGAGTTCAAGACCAGCTTGGCCAACATGGCAAAACCCTGTCTCTACTAAAAATACAAAAATTACCTGGGTGTGGTGGCGTGTGCCTGTAATCACAGCTACTCTGGAGGCACAAGAATTGCTTGATCCCAGGAGGTGGAGGTTGCAGTGAGCCGATATTGTACCACTGTACTCCAGCCTGGTTGACTGAGTGAGACTGTCTGAAAAAAAAAATTAAGATGAAGCTACTCTAGGTACACTGCTTATGGGGTATGCCTGCTCTGCAAGGAGCAGTTAAAATTTTTTTTGAGATGAAATTCACATAACAACATTGCCCACTTTAAAAGTGAACAATTTAGTGGCATTTAATACCATTCACAATGTTGTACAGCCACCATTTCTATGTAGTTTCAATGATTTTCATCATCCCAAAAGGAAACCCTGTACTGTTAGGTAGTTTCCCTACCCTTCCCCTCAGCCTCTTGGCAGCCACTGATATGTGCACTGTCTCTGTGGATTTGCTTATTTTAGATATTTCATATGAATGGGATATTATATAGTATGTGACTTTTTTTATCTGGCTGCTTTCACTGGGCATAGTACTTTTGAGGTTCATCTACATTTTATCATATGTCAGTACTTCTCTACTTTTTATGGCTGAATAGTATCCCATTGTATGTCTATATCACAATTTGTTTATCCTTTCATTCACTGAGGGATGGATGTTTGTGTTGTTTCCACACCCTTCGCCCCCACCTTTTTTTAAGAGATGCCTGGGCTGGAGTGCAGTGGTGCAGTTACAGCTCACTGTAGCCTCAAACTTCTGGGTTCAAGCACTCCTCCTGCTTCAGCTTCCTGAGTAGCTGTGACTGTAGGCACACACTGCCTCCCGGGTTCAAGCACTCCTCCCACCTCAGCCTTCTGAGTAGCTGGGACTATAGGCACACACCGCCTGGCTAATTAAAAATTTTTTTTTAGTGGCGAGGTCTAGCCATATTGCCCAACGTGATCTTGAATTCCTGGCCCCAGGTGATCCTCCTGTCTTCACCTCCTGTGCTGGCATTACAGGTGTGAGCCATTGTGCCAGGCCTTTTTTTTTTTTTTTTTTTTTGAGATGGACTTTTGCTCTTGTTGCCCAGGCTGGAGTGCAAATGCGATCTCAGCTCACTGCAACCTCCTCCTCCCAGGTTCAAGCGATTCTTCTGTCTCAGCCTCCTGAGTAGCTGGGATTACAGGCATGTGCCACTGCGCCTGGCTAATTTTGTATTTTTAGTAGAGATAGGGTTTCTCCATGTTGGTCAGGCTTGTCTCGAACTCCTGACCTCAGATGATCCGCCCACCTCTGCCTCCCAAAGTTTTGGGATTACAGGCGTGAGCCACTGCACCCAGTCTTCTTTTTTTTAATTTAAAGACAGGGTCTTGCTCTGTTGCCCAGACCGTAGTGCAGTGATGCTATCATACCTCAATGCAGCCCTGAACTCCTGGGCTCAAATGATCCCCCTGCCTCAGTGTCCTGAGTGCATGTTTGTTTTTTTTGTTTCTAATTTAATTTTTAATAGACACGAGGTCTTGCTATGTTGCCTAGGCTGATTGATCTTAAACTCCTGGGCTCAAGCAATCCCCTCCTGCCTTGGCCTCCTTAAGTGCTGGGATTACAG